AATATATTCCCAGGGCAGTGCTAGTTGGCTGGAAGGTGATTCTTCCAAGAAGAGTCCTCTGGGTTCCCTGGTTCTGGAAGAGCCCTGGACCTGATTAGGCTACAAGTCCAAATAAGGATTTGCAGCTGCCACCTCAGCGTGATCCTCTGGGAGGGAGCTGGGGACTGTGCTCCCCAAATCTGGGCCCGAGGCCCTCCCACCTGCTCTGTGCTGCCCTGCAAGCAGGTGAGCTCCAGGGGAAGCTGGTGGCCTCTCAGGCTGAAGTCACACATTTCCCATTCTCGGGGGTCTTCATCCATTCTTGTTCACCACAAGTCCCTCTCCATTGGGTTGTTTGGGCCCCATGGTAGGAAGAAACTCACCGGCTGTGCCCACACCGCACCGCGCTCGGGCCTCCAGTGGAGGCTCCACGGTGCAAGGACCTGGGATTTGCTCACCTCGCAGCCAGGGCAGGGCTGTCTCCAAACAGGCACCTAGAAATGCTGCAGGAAGGATGGATCCTGCCACGAAGTCCGGGATGGAGGAAACCAGGAGCTCTACTGGGGTACAAATCTTGTAGGGTCAAAACTCCACCTCCCAGCCTGTGGGAGGAGTCTCCCACATGATCCAAGCAGCCTCTATTAGAGAGCACACCCCTGTCCCTCACAGCTACTCCAGCCCCGAGAGACCCTGTGATATCTAATCCCAAAGCAACCTCAGGGGCCAGCACTGATGTGGGAAGTAAAGGCAAAAGAAAAATTTTGTAACTGCTATTTGTTTCTGTGTTATTGAGTTGTATGAGTCTCAAATAATTTGGATATTAAACCTGTATCAGTTAGGCAGTTTGCAAATATTTTCTCCCATTCAGTATGTTGTCTTTTCACTGTGTTGATAATCGGTGACCCTCACAAGTGTCTGCAGTTGGCCCTGTCTGTTCTTCTAGGTCACAGTGCCCTACATGCTCAGAAAGGAGACCCCAACTACAAAACACATTCTTCTCTAGCCTGACCACACCCCACATCTGGGTCAGAGCACCTCGAAAACCTGTCACCTGCTGCTCTACCTGGCCAAGAATCAGCCCCTCCCCTCACCCCCATGGTCGCAGCTGCAACCCTCTCACATCCTTCAACACCCCTCAAAAGGCCCAGCCTGACAGAAACTCGGGGTTCACATGTTTCTTGGTGTCTGGCCCCTCTCTTCCCTTGGAGGGTGAACCAACTCTGTCCTGCTTGTGGCTCTACTCTTTGTGCAATTCCTTTTTTTAAATTTATTTTTATTTATTTTTAATTTTTTAAAAAATATTTTATTTTTTTATTTGACAGAGAGTGAGATAGTGAGAGCAGGAACACAAGCAGGGTGAGTGGGAGAGGGGGAAGCAGGCTTCCCGCTGAGCAGGGAGCCCGAAGCGGGGCTCCATCCCAGGACCCTGGGATCATGACCTGAGCCGAAGGCAGACACTTAATGACTGAGCCACCCAGGTGCCCCTCTTTGTGCAATTCTTTGCCGCCCGCGGCACCGGCCACCCTAACCCTAACATCAGAATACATTACATCTTCCAAAATTAGAGAAAAATGATACTGGTCATTAAATCTGTTTAGAGTTTATTCTTTTCTCTTAATCCCCACTTGATCCCTACCGGGGTCTTCATGACTTCCTGCATAAGCATCCAAGAGCTTCCCCAGGGTCTGGCCTTTCTATGCTGTAGTTCCTCCTGCATCACCTGGCTCCACCCACGGCTCCTCCTCCTGCCCTTCCACCCCTCCTAAGGACCCTGGTGGTCCTGCTTGTCATTCCCACAAGACCTCCCTCCCTCTAGCAGGCCGTGCTCTCAACACTGCCCCCCAGAGCCCACGCCCTGTAACTGCCCTGTAACTGCCCCGTGGGGGTAAATCAATACTTCCTGCTCTAGAAAGCCCTGCCTTACCTGCAGAACTGGGGCAGTGACTCTCCATCCAGTCTTTTCCACTGTGCCCACGCAGAAGCCCTGAGCCCCCAGCAGGGGTCCGCAGCACACTGTCATGGTTGCGAGGGGTAGCTCAGCTTTCACCGCCTGGGCCAAGGCTGTGAGGCACACTGTCCAAGCCCTCAACTCTTGAAACCTCACTTTTCTCACCTACAAAATGGAGAAATTAATGTCTATGTCATAAGAATGGATGCCAATAAAATAGAACAATCTGTGTGACTCAGTGAGGATAGTATGCCTGGTCCACATTAAACAATAAAATAAAGCAACTTGAATCAAACCAGAGTGTAGATCAGATGAGCCTGGGTTCAAGCCTCCACACAGCCAATAGTCACATATCCCCAGGCCAGTTTCTTAACTTCGCACATTCTCAATTTCCTCACTGAAAAATGGGTGTAGGTGTGATAATCCATTCATTCCTCTATTCATAAGAACACCACCAGATTGTGTGGTACCATACATCAGGCCCTGGGCCACAAGGTAGGAATGCAAGGACAAGAAAGGAGCACTCCCAGCACTGGGGGCACAGAGCCACCTAGAACACAGACTGCAGAATCACAGTCCTGGCTAAATACTGGAGTCCCCTGAGCAGGGTAAACAATCCTGATGCTGGGCTCTGCCCAGGGATTCTGAGCAGGAGGCCTTGAGGTGTGGCTTTAGGAGGGATTCAGAGCTTCCCCTCAGACCCCAATAGGCAGTACACATTGAAAACTACTGCTTTCGCACTCTCAGAGAATTCCTTTATACCTGATTTGTTGCAGAACATTTCCCCCAGAGCTTGTTTGAAGTACTGAGGACACAGAGGTGGGGTGGTCTTCAGTCCTGGGACAGGGTGTCCCACTTCCCACACACGTTGTGTCAGCTCAAAGGGAGTCAGAAGCTCCACTGGAGGTCTGGTGGGTGGGTTGGCTCCAATCTTATCTGTTTACAGCTGATAACAAGAAAGAACCTTCCCCAGAGCCAGGGATCCGCTGCCCCTCACCAGGCTTCCAGCCCTTCTCAGGCAGCTGCTTCCAGCTGGGCCTTGCTCACCAAGGGAACCTGGGCTTCTCTGCCCTGAAATGCAAAGCACTTTTTTTTTTTTAACAATACCTGTGGGTAAATGAGAGCACGTGACAGCCCTTTCCCTTCCTGGAGCCGCCTTAGGCAAACAGCCGGAGACAGGACATTCCATCCCTCTTTCTGGCTTCTCAATCCTGTCTTGCTGGCAAGACATTTCCTTTGCTTTTCCTACAGGTTCCTTGTAAAGTGTGTATTTTCAGAACCTTATCTGACACACAAGTTATCATGATTTCTGAGATTTGGTTTCAAAGACTCCAGAAAAAAAAAATGGGGGGTGGGTGCTGAATAAATGAGATTGGCAAAGGTTGACACTTAATCTCTGAACCCCAGTTCAGTGAATCATTATCCTGCTTCTTGGGTATATTCAAAAGCGACCACAAACAAAATATAATGAAAGGCAGTATGGGAGGAAATATAATTTTGGATACTACTCTTAGAACGTTAATGTCATAAGAATGGTTTGAATTCGTTCGATATTATCATGTAAACTGAAGTTTTAAAATTTCTTATTCAAAGAAATATAGCCCTTTAGATTATACATGGTTTTATTTTAGCGTACAACCCATTTTGCTCAAAAGAGTTTCTCTTGATTTAGAGTCATATAATTTTATATATAACTAAACTATGCAGTGAACAAGTAATAAGCATTAAGTTCAAAGGTATTTGTCATGCCTGCAATCACAGATGCTTGCCCGAAGGTGTGAGGGGTCCTCCTCCAGAGAGTTTGCCCAGCCAGGTCTCCTGGTCCCGCCGGGGTCCTGGCAGCTCACAGAACTAGTCCTTGGGAGGCCCACAGGAGCCAGGCTCACCAATTCCCTTGGCTCTATTGCTTTATTTATCCGCCTCTGGAGTAAACCTCACATTTAAAGGTTTTGAAAATTAAATCAGTATCAAAGACTATTTCATCCTTGAAGGAAGCAGGCTATTTCTAGAAAGCCGTTTTTATATTAAAATCACAGGACGATTTGCCCCAGAGTTGCAAAGCATCCTCTTCAGTGATGATAAAAGGGCCCAAGGCCTGATTTTGGCAATCACTCCCTTCTTGGATCCAGAGCCTAACATCAGACAATGACTGGGGGAGTGCCCTCCTAACTCCGTGGTCTTCACACACTGAGCACCCTGTAGGCTTCTTCTCATAAAATTACCTATTGTTTGAAGATCTAACTGCCACAGGGACTTAAACTAAGCCTCCGTTGCCTCTCCTTTTACATGGGGGATAATAAAAACACTGCCCCAGAGGCATGCTGTATTAAATGGGTAATGTATATGACACAGTCACCACTGTGCTGGGCAGAGAGAAAAGGCTCAGCCTGTGGAAGGATCGATACATCCTCAGAAATCATTCGTGGGGAAATGTCTCCCTTTATATTCATGCTCCCCAGTCAAGACTTTTGGGACCCATGTGCCACCCAAGGGCTCCCTTCTCTAGCTGGGCCCTCACCACCATACAAGGGTATGCAGTATAAAATTTCCATTTTCCTGTGAAAACTTTTCTTGTTGAGATTTTGTTTTTTGTGTTTCGTTTTGTTTTTTCGGTGAGGGAAAGGCTTGTTGCCTTAGCCACCAATGCTGACATCAGGGATTGACTACTCCTGTTGCTGTCAGCCCTGTTAACACCACTGAGGGGAGAATCAGCCCAAGTCTCCAGCCCTCACCCCACCCCCACCAGGTCTCACTGAGGGGACAGTCCTGGAGGCTCAGCATGGGCCCTGCCTGTCACAGCAGCTCACTGCCTAATGGGCTTCCACAGCAGAACGCAGAGATCTCACTGCTGTTTCTCACGGCCTAGAGAAGAAGAGGAAAGATCTGTTTCTTCTTTCCTTATCCGTCTTATGTCCTAATGCAGTTATTCCACGACCTGGAGTAAAGATTCCCTTCAAATACAAAACCCGGTAAGACTCGACTTCCTTGGAAACAGATCTACACTTCCTTGGAAATTGATCTTCAATGTACTGAAGAGAGAAAGAGACGCTTATACCAGACCTGTCAGTGGGAAATGACCCGGAGACACCCTGTTAGGTAAGGACACACATCATCCAGATCTCAGGGCCAAGAGGGGCATCCAAAAGCCTCCAGAATAAACTGCAGTGCATGCACAAATGTTCCTTCTCATTAAGGGACATGCACACTTCCTTGGTCTCAAAATCTAAGTCACGAGAACATTAATTAAGTTACATCTACAAGTTACAAAATGATGGCATATTTATTATACATTACATATTGAATATACTTATGTTTAGATATGATTGCTTTACATTTTAAGCATATGTACATTTCTACTTTTAATATTTTAAACTTCAATAATTTTCTTTAAACATTCTAGGCTTCTGTTTTTTGTCAGTTTGGCATTACACATCATCCACTTGGGAGACAACAGTAAGAAACATTTTATTTATACTCCCTTTTTATTGTATATTTATTGTTTAGTCACCATCAGTCTCATACTTTCAATGTTTTCAAAAGGTTATCAAGGAGAGAAACATAAGGGTAACAGAGAAGAAATCAACAATGCTACAGCCCAGAAGCTCCAGCAGAAAACACTCAACTGGACCCTGAATAACTCTGGGGAGGGGAATGGAAGCATGGATGGCTGGCGGCCCCAGGATTCAAGTCCCTACCTCAGGGCTTTCCAAGGTGGTAAGTCGCCTTGTCCCCCAAATAGCTTTGTGGTCATCTCCATCACTGGTCTCCCAGTTTAGGATCTGAGAGCAACCTGGAATACATACATTAAGAATAAAATGAAAACCCCAACAGAGTTCATTTTATCATCTTCACATGATGATATACTATAAAGCGAAAAATATGTCTGAGTGACGTGCTCCTTTGCTGTGAAAACAAGTTGTGCCCTTTCATTGGTACAATGTTGCATTTGCACAGGTCTAGAGGAGTGTGATTTAAACATATTCAAAACAGCTATCCCACTCCAAGTGAAAAGCGCACCCTTGTTTGGCTTATTGCAGACTCTCTGGCTCCAGACCCCACGTCTCTGGCTGGTTGGGGGGTGGTGGGGGGATGATGATGTCCCTCTGGGGGGGACAAGGGTTTGGGAGGGTTTTCTGTAGTCATCAAAACCTGTGGGTGGTCCCCGCCCTGAAGGCCTGGTTTTAATCACTGTCCAGGCAAGTCACAGCCTGACTTTAACATATGAAAGGAAGGAAGAGAGAAAAATGCTACTTGCTGGGGCCAGGGTTTCTCCTTGGGTCTTTGAGCCGGTTCCTGACCCTCCAGGACCCCTGGCAGTTAGTTTTGAATCCTTAAATTAACAAGCAGGGTTTACCTGAGCAAACACACATGGGCATGGAGGTAAAGTTTACTGCCTCTCAGGGGAGGCTCATGAGGCGCTCTCTGGGGGAGTCACCGCGAAGGGCCAGGAGGCAGCGGACGCCAACACCCAGGTGTCCCCCCAACAGGCGCGCCCCCGCCGCTGCGCTGCTGCAGGAATGGCGGCACCTGCGTCCTGGGCAGCTTCTGCGTATGCCCCGCCCACTTCACCGGCCGTTACTGCGAGCACGACCAGAGGCAGAGGTGTGTGCCTGGGGGAGCGGGCTGAGAGTTGGGCGGGGGGAGAAGCGGGGCTTGACCTTGCGGAGGGGAGCGGGCGCGGACCGAGGGCGCTGGGGTAGGGGTTGGGGGAAGGGAGCGGGGAGTGGATGGGCGCAGGCGCTGAACACGCGGGGGCGTGGAGGGGCGTGGAGGGGCGTGGAGGGGCGTGGAGGGGCGCGGACACGAAGGGCTGGGGGCCGGGCGGGGCGGGGCGTGGAGGGGAGCGGACACGAAGGGCGGGGCGTGGAGGGGCGTGGGTAGCGCATGCGCGCCGACCCCGCTGATGCTGCCTCTCTGTCCACTCAGGGAATGCGGCGCCCTGATACACGGAGCTTGGACCTTCCACCGCTGCCGCCTTTGCAGGTGTGTGTTCGCAGCTCTGCACTGTCTCCCCCAGCAGACGCCTGGCAGCTGCGGTAAGAGGATTGCGTCCTGTGCACACGGTCCCCGCTCGCAGGGCATTGCTCCTTGGTACCCTCCAATCCGCAGAGATGTAGCTGTGCCAGGCGACACAGAAATGAGAAGCTGGGTTGATTGATCACTTAGGAAAGTCACATTGGTTGTGAATCACATAGCATATTATCATTATTATTTAAAGTGATTCCTAAGTTTACTCTGCCCCGATTGCTGGGTTTAAATGTGTTTTCCAAACAGTGTCCTTGGAGTGCGCAGACTTTGGGGAGCACAGCAGCTGGTAAGCAGAGCCAAGCCTGGCAGAGAGGTTGCCCACTCAATCTCCAGTGACTGCCCTACACCACGCCAACACCGTCTCCTTAACTTTGAAATGAGGAGGGCACCGGAGCAGGACAGGGACAGGCGTGGATGGCCAGGCGCCCCCCTTTAGAGCCAACCAGGCAGTGCTCCCAGAGAAGGAAGGCACCTTGTAACCACCCTCAGACCTGCCAGGCATATGAAAAGCCAGGAGGGTGTGGAGAACACATGGGGTGAACACTCATTTGTGAGAATTCTGAGCAGGGAGCAAACTCAAGGCACATGTTTCCCTTGCTAAACTCAGGAACATGAATTTCCTGGGTCAGAAAACAGACTTAGGAAAAGGAGGTACAGCATTTCCATCCCACATCCTGCACCCTCTCCCGTCTTCGGCATGCTCTGCCTGGACTCCAGTGAGAAGCACAGTGAATGAAGGCACACCCCTTCAGCCTCTTCATCAGCCCTGGGGGCCTTGGCTGTGCAGTGAGCAGTCAAAGCTCCCAGACCCCCTTTTCTGTTCCTCCGTCCACCTTCTTCGACTCTGGCCAAATCCCGCAGTTGAAGGGGATTTACTTCCTGATATCACAGCCCTTCAACAGCACTCCCCACCCCTTTGTCCACTGTCAGGACTGCAGGGGAGGGGCAGCACCACTGGGGGTGGACCCTCCAAACCAGCGTCCTGCCCCTGCCTTCCTGGTGGGCCCAGTAGTGGAGGAGCGCACTTAATGACTGCTCAGCTTCCAGCCCACCTTCCTGCCCCTCCCTCCCTGTGCTGCAACCTTGGGGAGGATGAGCTGTCAAGAGATGCTGAATGAAGGTACAGCCCATCAACCCCCCTTCCTGCCCCTCCCTTCTCATCCAGCTGTGCATGGTGTGGCCAGTGCCAGTAGGGAGAGAGAGGTGATGGTACAGCATTGCACGATGTTGCGGGTTGTCCTCCCTCTCTCCTGCCCACCGGGTTTCCCAAAGCCCCCTCCCCCCCCACTTCCATTTGCCGGGCTTATGCCCCTGATTCGCTGGCTGCTCCTTTTGTGGCCCAGAGAAAGAAGGACACAAGTTAGGGAACAGGCATCGGAATGGCAAGTGGCACCTGTGTGGTCCTACAGGTGAAGTCATTTCCTACATGCCCTTGGCGCTCCCAGCAGGAATGTGGGGACGGGGCTAGCTGCGGGCATTTGCAGTCTCCTACGCAAGGCCAGCTTGGGTTCAGAAGCAACAGGGCAGGGACCAGATTCCAGACCCTCTGCTTACTGTTTTCTATCCTTGGAGACCTCCGAGGCTGGGAATGCTGTCTGCCAAGGACTGGGGCAGTGGCTCCTCCATGTGACTTCTGCTCATCACAGTTAAACAAAATAGCCATGTTTCACAGTACTTTGTCAGGTGCCGAAAGGACAGGAGCACTTTCGTACTGTTGGACCTTCCTTTCTCAGGGCGGATGACTGTGCTGGCTTGCTGACGGAGGTTATGATGACAGGAGGGATGGTGATGAGAATGATGATGGCTCTTAGCATAGTTCAGGCACTGTCACCACTTTATCCCGTTTGATTCTCTTAAGTCCATGAAATAGGTATTATTGTACTTTTTATATTTGAGGAAGCCGAGGCTTCGAGGAGTTAATTCCTACAGCTAATAAACATGATCTGATATTTCTTTCGTAAGAGATAATCACAAAAGGCTAATTGTCAATTTAGAAAAAATACATTTTATAACATTTAATTATTTAAAAATAGTGCAAATAAACATACCATAGCATATTGATGTAATTATTATTCTATGAATAGTAAGAATATTACTCTATGAATAGAATGGCTACCCTTTATGGACTACATAAGGACATCCCTGAAGTATGTCAAACACTTTTTTAAATTGTGATATAATTTGCAGATAAGAGTATATTAGTTTCAGGTGTACAACGTAATGATTCGCTATTTCTGTACGTTGTGAAATGATCACCACACTAAGTCTAGTTAACATCCATCGCCTCCCATAGATATGGTTTTCTTTCTTGTGATGAGAGTTTTTAAGATCTACCCTCTTAATAACTTTCAAATATAGATTTATTAACTTTAGTCAACATGCTGTACATGACATCCCCATGATTTATTTATCTTAAAACTGGAAATTTGTACCTTTTGATCTTTGATCGTCACTCACTTTGCCCACCTTTGGCAGTCACCAAACTTCTTGTATCTATGAGCTGTGTTGTTTTTATTTAAGATTCCAGATGTGAGAGCTTATGGTATTTGTCTTGCTCTGTTCCATTTATTTAATTTAGCAGAACGCCCTCAAGGTCCGTCCGTGTTGTCACAAATGGCAAGATTTCCTTCTTTTATGTGGCTGACAAATACTCCATTGTGTGTGTTTGTGTTATCTATCATATATTTTCTTTTATCCACATTTATGTCACATTCGTTTTATTTATATCATATTTACACATTTATGTTCTTTGTCATATGTTCTTTGTCCATTCATCCATCAGTGTTCACTTAGGTTGCTTCCATGTTTTGGCTATTGTAAAAAATATGCAGTGAACACAAAGGTGCATACATATTTTTGAGTTAGTGTGTTTGTTTCCTTTGGATAGATGCCCAGAGAGGGAATTGCTGGATCATATGGAGTTCTATTATTAATTTTTTGAAAACCCCCATACCCGTTTCCATAGTGGCTGCACCAGTTTACATTCCCACCAACGGTGCATAAGGGTTCAGGATGTGAATCTTAACTACTGTGCCATTTCTGTACTCTTCCTATAGGAATAATTAGCAATATAAACTAAAGATATTTTTGATAGTGTTATTTTGAATATTGAAAATATAGCCACATTCTAAATCTATAGGTGTTTTAAATCCTTTAATGGGATGTTATGAGGATTTTGAAGAACATATGGAAGATAGAATGGAAAATTATGTTCCTAATATGATGAAAGAGATGTGAATCAAGGATACATCTGAATGGGTGAGTCGCCAGTAGATAACATCATACTACAAAATCATGACCCTCCAGCACCTCCAGGGACCTGAAGGACATCGGACCTCCTAGGGTCCTTCTTGCCCTGATGCTCTGTGGGTCCAAGAATGACAGGCTTTCTTAATGCCAAATGGAATGTCTTTTCAAGAGCATGGTTTTCCATTCTGATTCAGAAGAACACTATTAGTTTCTCAACTTGCCCTCCACCTTCTCACATAGATGTTGAAGGATAAACTGAAAGCGAAATAATCTTCTTTGTTGCTGTGAGCTATTTTGTCATTTTCCTGTTACATGATGTAAATAGTGTTTTGTGAATAATATTCTCAATAAATATTGAATGGATTGTCTTTGACCAGTTAGTTCCAAATACAGCTCCAAAGAAGAAACACCATATAAGCCCGTACCTATTATTAGATTGCATTCAAAAGAAACCACTTTGAGTATTCTAAAAATGATATGCTTGAGGCAGGCAACTCTCATTACCTCTACTATTTTCTTCATTTACATTTGTTAGTTTTGCATTTAAAGAGACAGTGTAGCATAATAGAAAAAGCATTGGAAAATCCCTCCAAAATACTTGTTCAACTCCCCAAAAATACTTGTTATAATGCTTACGATCTTTATGAAAGGTTGAATAACTTGCTTGTGTTTCAGTCTCTTCAACTGCAAAATTAGAGCTGAATATTTACCCCATGGATTTGTTAAGATGAAAAGGACTTCACCTGTTATATATGATGCACAAAATAAATTGTTATTTTATTCTCATCCCCATTAACAGTGTTCAAGTCAATATAGTGAGGTTTCAAAAATTATTTCATAATCTAGCATTTATGTGCAAGTTTACTGAAATGTGTTTTTTAGTTTGTGAACAATATCCACTAATTGAGGGGCATTAAGTTAATTATGGTTAAAAAACAACAACAACAAAAAAACAGGCTTCCGGCAAACAGGAAGCTTAGTGTTGAGCCAGACCAAAAACTCATTATACCAAGGGGTGGTTCTTCCCCTACGTAGCCCCCCAAAATTAAGTATTTCATTAGCTTCAAGAACCAGTTTCGTGTTCCAAAATTTAGAGTCTAAATACTGACACAGTGAAGTAGCAAACTCAAGTGCCTTCAGGGGTAAACAGGGAATGTGAATGTCAGGTTGGGGTCAGGTCAAGCCTCACCTCATGCTTCCAACTCAGTTTTAAAAACGGTATTTCTGACACCAACCAACCCAAACAAGGAAACAACCATCATAGGGCCAGAACCAGCCTATTCGGCCTATGGGAGAGGTGGCCCTCCAGGGTCATGGCCCCGCCAGCAACAACATGCTGTGTAGGAGAGAGACAGAGACCCTTTTGTCCTGCCCTCCGGGGACAGTCTCCCACGCTAGGTGCCACTGCAATGGGTAAGATTCTCTGGGTGTCATGGCAGGAGAGGAAGCCGTCTGGCTCCCAGAGGTATCTGCAAATTGGAGAGTTTTAGGAATGCTGCTTCTGGACCCCACATTGAAATATGACATTCTCCTCATTCAGGGTGGTCTTCAAACTTTTTTCTTTTTAATTTCCCACTGCCCTCCAGTAAAAACACTTGAGTATGTTCCCCATTCAGTGGTGTGAGACAGTGGTCATGCAGAGCAGGTGCAAACTTGATTTTACTTACATCTTCTTTCTCACATTTGCACAGGACTAATACACATGATAAAAATCTGTGCTGTGTCTGACCAAGTCTGAAAATGGCCTTTTGATAAGGATGTGATACAAATCCTAGGTCACAGTAAGTCATCCACTGGAGACAGTTTCCTTTTTGGTAGGAGGTCAGTTAATGGCCAGAGAACAATTGATTCAGTCGATTCTAAGAAGTACAGTAAATATTGTAAGGCTTAGTTTTACATTTTCTGTAAATGTATAGTGGAAGTTCTAATATTGTCTCTCTGCGCTCAGTGGGTGACCATGGGCCTCCCGAGAGGGACACCGTATGGTACTCACAGCCCCAATTTGCGTACCCCCATGGGCAGGGCTGACTTGGTCTAACCTCATTCCCAGAGCTGACTAAAGCAGGAGCCTGTGAGTTTGTATGCAAGAAATGACTGCCAGCAGGGCCTTCATCCTTTCCTGTGGGCAGCCTGTTTCCTTCCAGCAGGGAGAGCCAACACTGAAGCTCAGTATGGGCTGACCCCGTTCTCACCTGGATTATTTTTTCAGACCTGGAAGATTTTGTCGCCGCGCGCTCCAATGGACTGAGTGCACAACGCATGCTGAGTGTCCTCTTCCTTCTTCCGTGCTTGCTCTTCCAAAGCCTCCTCAGGGAAGGGGGAGACTGCCGACCAGACCCTAGTTGACCGAACCAGACTGCTGACCGAACCCACAGTTCCACACCGGCAGAGCCTTGGCATCCCCGCGCAGCCTGAGCCAGCGTGGTCCTCTGTGGGAAAGCCGGGACTTGGGCAGCCTCTCATTTTCTGTGTTGTAGGGAATAGATTTGTTTCATCTCCTATCAACTGAAGCATTCAATGAATGTTTTCATTGTTTAATAAATATTTTCATGAACGAGACTGTCTCGCTTCCCTAAGCCTTATTTCAAGGTCTGTGACTTAGACACCGTGAGTAAACACTTGTGCTGGGGCCTATTCAACCCTAAATTCTCTCTGATGATTTCAGAGTAAACTGAGCACGTGGCCCCTCGCAGATGACAGCTCTTCCTCGAGCACCCCTTCATCCCCCCCGACACAGATGCACCATGGCTGTGGCGACACGTCCTGTCACGCATCTGGGCACTGTTCATCTCCCGCACCGCTCTCTGAGTCCTCGGCAGGTAGACACGGCCCCACACGGGCTGTGCTCTGGGTCAAGCAGAGCTGCAGCCTCAGAAAAGCTTCATGGATAAGGAAGGCAAGAGAGGGGAGGGAGGGTGGGAAGGAGGGAGCCAAGACGTGGGTCTGACAGCCAGGCAGCCCACCTCCTTTTCTGCGCTTCCTCTACTAACCAGGGCCCTTGTGACACCCTTTTCAGGGCAATTAGCACTGCCTGGGATTATCACCATCTCCTTAAAAGGGGAAGATTCTACACAGCAGAGCCCATTCTCAAGGCAAGGCAGAGGGAGAATTAGCACAAAGAGGTTACAGCCTCAGGCTCTAGGCTAGCCCTCCACTCTTAGAGTCCAGCCATCTCCTAGCCCGCCAGGCAAGCACAGCTTCCTTGCAGTAGGCCAGCCCCTGAATCTTGTCCCAGACTCAAACCTGTCCATGCATGTGATGCGCCTTGCTCTTTGTTCCCAAAGCTGCCTTGCTCTGTTGGATCTGGGAACTGTATATATCCAGCGACTGGGCAAGGAGAGGAATACATGAGCGGAGGCTAATGGGCCTCTTGAAGCCTTGGGTGGGGGGAGCCTTGACACAACCCAAAGGTATGTATTCTTCCAAACACTGCGGTGCCATCCAGGATCTGCTATGCTGGCGTGCGTCAGATAATTTCGAGACAGGTGTTACCATCTGGTCTCCATCAGGGTTCTATGATCAATGTGCAAACAAGGAGTAGAGAGTGGGAAACACAGGGTTAATGATTAATCATACCTGGGGCTGACAGGAGCATAAACCATAAGTAAGGAACATAACCAACGACAACATGAAGCTGGGTTAATAGAACTCTAGTACTGCTTATGCTTTCAAGACGGTCTAGGAAGCAAGCATCCAGCCTCAGTCTGAACTGAACCCAAGGTGAAATCAATCTGAATTTGCAAAAAATAAAGGGACTGAAGGCCCATCTTCCTATCAGTTGCACAGTACTCGGGAGTCAGGCGTTCTAAGCTGGATCTGCCAACGATATTAGCTCTCTGATAATTTTCACAGCCCTGTTTGAACAGTTCCTACAATGAGAAATCGGAGTGAAAACAAGAAGAGTATTACCAGTTATTCAGGTAAACAAGAATAAAATGGGAGCAAGGAAAGGACTTGGGAATAGATAATACAGCCTGTGTTAAAATATTAATTGATCAAGATATTGATATTTTATAAGGCTTATGCAATTTCATTTAAAATGTTCCCAGCTGAACTCAATGGAAAGGCCATCCCATGACATCATATTGCCCATGTGATGATGTAACGCCGCACGTACTGGAGTACTTTTGGGGACAGAAAGGTGCCCTGCCCCCAGACAGTCACCACAGTGCTCCACTGTCAAATGCTGCACTGGAGCGTGGTTTTGACTCCCCCTCGATGAGAGAACACTACACGTCGAGGGGAACAGAGTGCTGGCTGTGAGCTCTGAAGTGGGAGTTCCCCAGGCTGCTACTGAAGTGCTCCACGTAGTATGCACACATGTAGAAGTACACATATCTCCAGTCATCCGCTGACAGAAACTTAGGTTGTCTCCGTTTCTTGGCCATTCTGAGTAATGCCACGTGATCAAGGGATTGCAGGTATCTCTTCAAGACCCTGTTTTTATTTCCTTCCCATATATACCCAGAAGAGGAATTACTAGATCATAAGGTAGTTTCATTCTTAATTTCTTGAGGAACTTCATCCTGTTTTCCACGATGGTTGTACCGACAGTGTACAAGTGTTCCCCTTTGTTCACATCCTCATGAATACTCGTTAGCTCTTGTCTTTGGTATAAGAGCCATCCTAACAGGTTGCATATGTCATTGTGGTTTTGATTTATATTTCCCTGATGAGTAGTGATATTGAGTCCCCCTATTCAGATACCCGTAGATCATTTCATGTCTTCTTGGGGAGAAAGTCAGGTCAGGTCAGTAAAGGGTTGATTTGGACTATGGTTCCTGAAAAAGCAATTACTAACATTGAGACATAAATATTTCTAGGCAATTGTGATTTTTGACAGCAAAGTTGTCTTTAAATGGTTTCCAGTGCATTCTGAGCTGTACCTGCTATATCAGCTCAATTATTCTAGAAACAAACAAGTGATGAACTTTGAAAACTGCTCCTCAGAACTTGATGAATATGTTTATACTATGTGTAGAATATTTACCAAATGCTTTTTACACTTTTATACCAATAGGAAGTATGCTGAAAAACATAGACAGACAAAGGGACACATTGTCTTATTTTCGATGGCTGCACTTAGGAAATTGAACTGAGAGGACTGTCCCACATTTGAGAGGCTATAATTGTGGTCAAAAGGAAAAGCAAAATGTGTTCATTATTATTATTATGAATATGTAAGGTATAAACACTCATTTACCTTTTAAGCAGAAAATTTGTTCCTTCTAATAGAATAATTCCTGACTATAAATAAGAAAACCAAATTAACCATTTTTTATATCTATCATCTATCATCTATCATCTATCTATCTATCTATCATCTATCTATCATCATCTATCTATCATCTATTTATCTATAAATCATCTATCATTATCTATCTATCTATCTATCTATCTATCTATCTATCTATCATCAATCTCCCTCCCTCCCTCTCTCTCTAAGAAACATTTACCTAGGGACGCCTGGGTGGCTCAGTCGTTAAGCATCTGCCTTCGGCTCAGGTCATGATCCCAGAGTCCTGGGATCGGGTCCCGCATTGGGCTCCCTGCTCCGTGGGAAGCCTGTTTCTCCCTCTTCCACTCCCCCTGCTTGTGTTCCCTCTCTCGCTGTGTCTCTCTGTCAAATAAATAAATAAAATCTTAAAAAAAAAAAAAAGAAAGAAAGAAACATTTACCTACCCAACTCAGAAAAGAACATAAATCATCATCCAGGAATTGTGAAAAGTAAGCCATCAGCTTCTTCATGGTGCATGGAGAATTTGAGGATAAAAGGTATTTTCCCTGTAAATAGCTCCCCAGGTGTCCAGAGAGATCGTTAAAAAGCAGACACTTCCCAGGACACAAAAGAGGATCCAGGGCTCATGGTTGGAAACGTCACATAAATGTGTCACCTGTCTTATCTCCATCCTGCCATTGAGGAAAGCACAGAGACAGCATCCTAGGCCAGGATCTCAGCGCTGCCCCATCCCAGGGATGAGCCTTCTCACAGCCCTGGTTTTGCTCACCATGACAGCTGATGCGGGGGCCCTCCTCTAGAGACAGCACTTACAAGCTCTCTCCACTGTGGACTGTTTATAGAAGCGACTCTCTCCTTGCCACCTTCCCTTCTCACTCAGACTACCCTGGCACAGCTAGAAAAGTAGGATCTGTTCCCACAAGGCCATGTGGGCTCTTGCTAAGGGAGCCCCCTGAGGACACTGAGAGAAGGGACAGGGAGAGCCACAGGGAGTGATACAGTCACGGGGTGTCAATGTCCTGACCTTTCAGAGCCTTTAACCCACTTCTGCATTAGAGTTTACCGGAGTCAAAGCAAATGTCTGCCGGACCAGGAGCCCTCTTATACCTTCGGCCACATCACAGTCCCCGCACCCCGGCCTGGAAGCAATTGATTTCTTGGCTGGGAGCATTAAGTGGAGCTCTGAATGTATGTCCAATGCTTGAGGTCTGCAAAAGCCACCCTGGCACAAGTCGCTTCGTATCACACGGGCAATAGGCCCTGTGACCGACCTTTCCATTGAATTTATCTCTGAATCCTTAAGTTCTATTAGCTTTATAGGCACAGGCTTTGTCATTTCACCTGGACCCTCTGCCTTTGGAAAGGAAAACAAGGAGCAGTGTCTCCCCCAGTTAGAACGGCTGGGCCCCCCACTGATCCCCTGACCAACAACTGGATCCCGACTAGACATTCTGAAAGTCTGTCGCGACAGCGATGGCTAAGTCCCCAGCAGTGAATCCTGGCAAGCTGGAAGGGAGCATGCTTGGAAATGTCTGCAGCTCTTCCGCTGGTGTGTAGACACTGGCATGCAAGCAAAGGTTCCATAACCAGCTCTCCAGAACGAAATGGATCTATGAAAAATATGTGTCGTTACTTGTAATACTTGCTGTATGTATTTACAAAGACGTTATACATTCGAAGGGGACTTACCTCTCAATTTATTAATAGTAAGGTAGATTCAGTTTGTTATACATAACATATAGATAGCTCAGAATTTATACATAATAATAATAGCAACATATATAATATTCTGTTGTAAATCCCATGTAGCCAATAAGCTGTTGTTGAGTTTTTACCCAATTTTGCATATGAAAGCAACCTATGGTTCTGATTCAACCATAATCTGACAAATGGTGCTGCATCGTAATTCACTCTTTCTGCAATGAATGTATTGTCATTACATCTGGTATGTGATCTACTGAGAAACGATTTCTAATGCTCATACAAATGAAGTCAATGAACTGAAACCTCTTTGAACTCTGTTACTACATGTGTGAGAACTTCACCGCTTGTTGACATGAGTGACTCCTTTGCTGTTTTATTTTTTATTTATTTATTTTTAAAGATTTTATTTATTTATTTGAAAGAGAGAGACACAGCGAGAGAGGGAACACAAGCAGGGGGAGTGGGAGAGGGAGAAGCAGGCTTCCCGCGGAGCAGGGAGCCCGATGCGGGGCTCGATCC